TTTTAAGGATTCTTTGTCATTGCACTGTCTAGTTTACTGTCCTTGCTAGATTATTAGACCCTTTGGAGATCAAATTCAGTGGAAAGTTTTGAGCTTTATGGTTTGTTGTATTTGTAGTAGTAACAAAGGTTAGTGCTTTTTTGCTGGGTTTGCTGCTTTTAGTGGGAGTTTGGGGAATTTGGTGAGATTTGGGAAACGGGTCATAATGGATTTGCATTTGAAGAATTTGTTTGGTAGATTTCAAGAGCAATTTGGTTCTGGTCCTGGCCTTGGTCCTGGATCAAGTACATGTCTAATGAAGGTAGAGGGAGTTTCTCCTAATTTCATTAAGTCTATATATAAAGGTTCTGCTGCTCTTTATAGAACTGAACCGTGGAAAAGATTGCGTCCTTGGCATCTTTTTGGTATCCGGGTAGGGAAGGATTCGGATTGGTCCGGCAAGAAACAGCCTTTTCCCTGTGTTCAGTTCATAGGAGGTGATGGTGGGGATGTTGGGTTTTATATGTTTCGATCCGAAAGTGATGCTAAGAAGATGACTGGACCGAGAGAGACAATTCGTGTTCCAAATGTTGAGCTTTTGAGGGTCTCATATGAACCTGAGGCGTTGATGTTTCCTTCAAATAAGAGAATGATCAAGTCATTGTCATTGGAAGCATCGGGTACTGATAGGTTTCCTGTGATTGATGTTGCACGTTGTATGTCTTCTGGTGAGCTTCGGTTTAGGAATCCAACTCTTGAAGAGCTTAGGTTTGTGTATGCCTTCATGAGAGCTATTTCTCTTGTGCATCCCCTACTCCAGGAAGATAAAGATGGTGCTCCTAAATGGTCAAGGATGATGTATTTTGAAACATTTATTGAGACTGTAGATGTTCAATGGCCTCCAGAAATGGCCAAGAGTCATGACCTTGTTGCAGTTACTGTCTCCCATCCTCCTGGTCAGGCATATGAGGAAAAGGCTAGCTCAACAGCTAGCTCGACACCCACCAAGTATGCTGAACCACCAAGGGAGGAGGTCTTTGTTGATGTAAGAGTAAATTCAAATGGTGTCTTGAGGCAGTGTACATTTTGCGAGAAAGAAGTTCATGGAGACCATTCTCAATGTTGTGCGCAGTGTCGCGCTGTGGTCTACTGCAGTTCTCTGTGCCAGAAGCAGCACTGGAAGGAAACACACAAGAGCATGTGTGGTCTTTACAAGGCTATGATGGAAAGAGAAGAAGAGCTGGCCATGAAAATCTTTTTGTTCCCATGTTCAGCTGACCAGCCTTGTAAATGGCTTGAGTCATTGGGCATCCATCAAAAAGGCATGTGGAGAAGGAAGTGTGGTTGCTATGCTCACTGCCCTTTTGGTCTCCTTCCTGTCAAAGGTGGGCTTTGGGACTCATGGGGTGGGCTGGATGATGAGTACCCTCGTGATTCCCCTTTTCACAACCATGTAAGAGATGGAATATCGAGCCCAATCCTTCTTTCTGGTTGGTCAGAGTACTATAATCTTCGGTCGCTGCCATTATCAAGCCCTGTTGCTGACATTCTCTCTCACCCATTTACAGTTTATTACATATTAACTGCTCTTAATATTAGTTCGAAGAACCTGTTACTCAAAGGGAAAGAGGTGATTCTTCACTACCTTGGTCCTGAAGGGGAGTTAGATTGGATGCCTGCATTTGCAGAGATTAGCCATTTGCTGAATGGATCAGGAAATATACATATTGTAATGGTGGGACCGGAAGTTCCAAATAACTTGTCAGGCACAACTTCAGGAATAAGTAGTAGAGTGAGGGTGAATCTTGTGAGAGGTAATTATCAGGATGAGGCCACCTATCTTCCTTCTCCGCATATCATTGTTGCATTGAACTGTGGATTGGAGAGCTATTCTGCTTGGGGAGGAGCACTTGAATTGATAAAATCTAGAGGTGTTCCAGCCTTCTTCACAGAGCATTCAGAAATTTTATGTGCGAATGCAAAGCAGGTTCTTCGCGGAGCTGGATTACACATTACACATCCAGTGACACCAAATCCTTTCCGCTCTCCAGTCAAGACTCACAGTCTTTCAAACAATCTTCCTTCATATAGCAATGGTTTTGTGCTTGGGGTGAATACATGAAGAAGGGGCCATGTTTCTGCTGTTCATGGTGGTTGTCATTTACCTGATCATATTGCAGGTGTTGTGGTGATTGAGCAAACTTGATTTAACCATTTCGAAGAACATTTTGTATATTTTTAATTGTTTCCTAATGTTTATCATTTAACTGTAATAAGCTGATTATTAGCATGGTATGCCACCGTGATCTTATTTCTTGTTGCAATCCATAGCGGGCATCAACAATTCCTGGCGAGATATGGTTGCATGCAAAGTGTATAAACGTTCAATCATAAGAAAATTCTTTTCCACGGTAACTAAGCCTGCTAACGGTACTAAAATATCCGTGTTTTCTTCCGCTCTTCGAAGATGAATTGCTGAGTGAAAACTATTCCTTTCTCATAGCGCTGCTGTCTAACATGTTTTATGTATGTAGACGAAAGGATGTTAGAGAATGCTGTGATTTTCCTGAAAGCTGTTATTTTCGGTAATATTACCAGAGATTTTATAAGGATAATTTGACTGATCTTACATCTTCATAACCAGAAAACAATGGAGACAATTTTATAGCTGGCGGACATTCGATAATGAAGTGATGTAGGCCTGGTGTTGTCGTAGTTGTAAGAGGTCAGTATCCGGGGTCAGTGAAATGGGGAAACCTGTAAATTTCTTTGTTCAAATCTTGCATAGAAAACCTCTTTATGTGTTCGATTTGCAGTCTAGTTAGCATGTATCTTGTCATCCTCGCATGCTTATTAAGAGCCCTTTGGTTTGGGCTTCAAGTTCTCTGGGTTCGAAAGAACAGCATTGAATGTACGCTTAATGATTGAAAATTGGTGGCATCTCATATGTTTTTCCATTAAAAAACCAAAGTCTACCTTTTAACTGTTTCCTGAAACTTCACTCTGATCTCCAATATAACTTCCTGTTCTGTATTTCCTGCCGAAATAAGTTCTTGTCCTGTATTTCCGTACTTATCAGGAACTGCTTTCCAGAAGTTGGATGACGTAGAGGAAAAGCAGCAAATTATAGTGAAGGAAAAACTGCAAATTATGTCCACAACATTGAAGGTAAATAAGCTATCTCAAAGTCATAGTAGAAAAAGTTATGTCCACAACACCTATATTACTATGTTAGAATACCTCCTCGATTTGGACCATGTGACAGAGTTGACATCAACCCTAGCATTTCAAGCACCTGAAGAAGGCTTCGTGAGAGGGCCATTATTTGGAGACGTGGTAGGTATGATTGTTTCCATCCCAGCAGATTTTCCCAAAATGGTGGGATCCGTAAGGGGCCAGCCATCCACATGTGAGCTACAAGCTGTCAAAACTCAAACGCACCAGAAGCTCTAATTGGTGCAAGACACAACTCTTTATTTTGTTGTATCTTGGAAAAGGGAAATACTTGTAACAACTTGACCGAAACAGTTCAGTTCTGTTCATGGACATCTATGGCAACTATCAACTTGCTAGTTTTTGTTTCTTTCTTTAAATAAAGAAATTAACACGATATAGAAAAGGCATATAACATATTTTGAAAGCTATTTAGAAAAATAATACAGCTTGATGACTCCTGTGAGACATCAACAGCTTGCATGTCACATGTGTTGCAAGCTTACAAGCTTGCAAGCCACTCCAGTGGAATTAAACCTTGGCCTCTGTTTTTCGTACTCTTTTCTTTCCTTATTTCCCTTTCCATTCTCTTTCTCTACCATCATCGTTGCCCACCCCTCACTCTCTCCCCCCGCCACAAAACATTTATATTGCCACCCTCTTGATATGACTCGTTAAATTATGTTATTTTTCTAAAATATGGTGTTTTATTTGTCCTATTTTTTTCTCTGTGATAATTGGCTTTTAAAAAAAAAAACTCATCAACTTGGGGCAACATTAACTATTAGTGGCAAAATTTGTCATTCCAGAACGAGATAGTATTTAGTGGCAACGTTAACTATTAGTCTATGCAGCTAGCACCGCATAGTTTGACCATCCACCTTCCTTCTATCATACAAGGAAACCAAACCCTCAAGTAAAGTCAGAAAGCCAATCAGCTTGCAAACCTAACCTCATTGGCCTAGAAAGGCAGCAACTTGACCATTTACTCTATAAAAAGGTTAGCACAGCCAGTGCCTCCTCTTATCAAGTCACATCCCATCAATCAAATCCTGCCCCAAATAGGTCTGATAAACAATGGAGCACTCCATCTATCATCAACCTTCACCATGGTACTATCTCCTTGCAAACCCTGCTCTCTTCTCCTATCTCCCCACCCCAGAAAACCGTGTCAACTGGTCTGAAACCCGAGTCTCACATCTATTCTGCTGACCTCCCTGGTACTTTAGACAACTTACTTTAGCTTCTTATGATGTTTCTTTTCATTTCTTGAAGTTTCTTGCATTTATTTCAATTATGTTTGAATTGGAATGAGATGTTGTCTTGGTTCTTATGGCAGGTGTGAGGAAAGAAGAGATAAAACTGGAGGTAGAGGATTCAAGGTACCTCATAATTAGAACTGAAGCTATGAATGAATCAACTCAGCCTGCCAAGACCTTCAATAGAAAATTCAGGCTTCCTGGTGGGATTGATGTTGAGGGAATATCAGCAGGATTTGAAGACGGTGTCTTGACAGTTACTGTACCGAGAGCTTTTAGGAGGAGGGGATTCTTTATTGACCCAGAAGAAGTGCCTGAAAGGCTACGAGTTCTTGCTAGGGCTGCTTGATTTTTTCCATCCTTAGATGCTTAATTAGGCACTAAAACCTATTGTTTTATGATTGAATGATTGATTGCTAGCATTAGTTATTGGGATAAGCTAGGCTTGCTATTAAGATTGGAAAAAATTGTGTAAAAACATTTATCGAGTAGGAATGAAGTTGCAGATGATGTTCTGGTTCTGCTTTAATCTTCTTACTGGTGATATCATGAGTCTTGGTTTCCTCAAGCCGCACACGCTTTGATTTCACTCTTGTATCCTCTGCTTTCTTGCTCCATTAAGAAATGATAGTGTTATTTGTTTAGCCTCAAATTGCCGAAGTGAAATCAAAATTCAAGGATCTTGAATTTTTGTAACAGCATGACAAGTTCAACTCTTATTGGCTGCGAACATTGCAAATTCCTAACCACCTGACATTTTGGGAACGCTAGTTCAACCCTTTTGGTTTGGAAACATGGATTGCTCCGCGGCCTATAACAGTTGAGCATGGTTGCTCCGCTGCCGCTCCAACTTCCTAAACAGGCACTTGGGTTTTTTAACTGTAGCCTTGCTTCATGAATGGATTATCCAACCACCAAACTTGGCTGAAGCAGATAAATGAACCTTGTCCTTTTAGCCCACCAGAGGGCATCAATTTACTGAATATGTAGACATGGTGTTAAATAGGTCACAGATATTTTTGCGGCCAGTAGGAATCTGAATCTCTTGGTCCTGCAAAAAGATAATGTCATGTGCACAGCAACGGGACCATCATGCTCTACTTTCAACAACATTCCTTTATCCCCAGCCGCATCCACAGATAATTAATTATTGATTATTTCCCTGCCACTATTTTTCTAAAAGGTGATTCATCTATATTGAATTAGTTTCATTAGTCTTGATATTTGTAAATATGATTCAAGTTTTGATTTTGCTATGTTAATAGAGACATCTAAAGTTTTAATTTTGAAGTAAATACAGTGAAATTTCCACAGGTATGTGTCCATCTGTATATCTATTTTTTTATAAGAAAATAATTATTGCAATTTTCCATGAATAAATCAAGATAATTAACATAGTTTTGCAACTTGTCTAGTGTGTTTGGTCAGTCGCAGCATTTCCATGGCATCCAACTATCCAAGAGGCACATGCAGGAGGACAACAATGCTGTGCTCTAACTCCTACCTGTCCTCTGCCCTAAGAGTAGGAAGGGAGGAAACGAACAGAACAACTTGCTCAAGAAAAGGGGAGAAAAATCATCACAGTGAAGACAATCAGCTTCATCTCAAATCTGCACACCTCTCAGTACACTATTTACTTAATCAAATCTCAACTCAACGACACATAGACAAGGCATGACAACCGAAAGAAAGCCTAACAACATGGCCCTGGAACTGCTTCAAAATGTTACCATTTTCCATACCTTTGAAGGGTTCAACAGGCATAAGTTGTATCTGTGTCCTAAATACTCAAGTTGGCTATTTATCAGTTTCAAGAGTTCAACAGCCTCGCACAATCTTCTTTCTATGTTCTCTCTCACAGCCGCAACGCGAGGTTTCCTGCACAAAGATGGGATGTATTGAACTTAGCTAACTTTTGCCTATTATGAATCATGATACAAGTGTTTTCTATAAAATTATTTTGGGATGATGGGCCAGCTTTATTGCCATGGAAATGCAACTCATAAAAATAAAAGCAGAGATATATTTCTTTACTTGAAGCACAACAACAGGTTGCCTCTCTCTAGAGTGCCTTTTGCCTGCCAATCCAACCTCCAACCTGAGATTTTGACGATAGCTGATTTTGCTCTATGTTTAAGCAATAAAACACCTCTCCAGCACCATTTCAGCTTCCGAATAGCAGACATCACTATTTTCACTTCCAAACTCTGCAAGCAGACTCTTGAGCTTTGAATTTTGCAATAAGTAGCGGTAGCTCCGCGAAAGTGAGAGGCCCCTGCATGATGCCAGATATGAGTTAACGCAAACCATATTTTAATAAAGCAGACGAGCTTGTATGAAATAAAATTCTAGCAACTAAAGTTCAGAAGAAATTTTCACAAACCTAATAACCTATTTCGAGAGCTCTCCCCATTAAAACAAACCCGAATCTCTCTGTAACAGCTTATTTGCGCGCGCGCGCGCACACACACACACATGTTGGATGAGTTCCGGTGTGGGTTTGACAATATCAATCTCTATCTTATTCATTATCTGTTGGGTAAGTTAACTATCTAAAAATCCCTGCTCATTCGGGTCGGCTAAGGTCGGTATCCATCCGGATTGACATTAAATTTTCATCACTACTACACATGCAAAGACAAAATGCTATTGTCAGCAACTATAGAATTATGAACAGATGATTAAGAAGAACTGCAACTTTGCAAGTAAACATACAATAATTGAGGTCGACTATTCAGCTGGTTCAAGTTGGGACTCTGGGAGCTCGAAATGCAAGCAGAAATGGATCCTACATAACTATTTGGACCAAAATATATCTGATGCAAGTCCATGAACCCTCTAATTTGTTTGTTTGTTTTTCCCCCCAACAAGATCACCAAAATCTGAGTTGCTGGAAGAAGGATTATATTACACTTCAAAGCCCCATATAGTTGTTGTGCAAACGTCAAAAGGATTATATTACACTTCAGAGCCCCATATAGTTGTTGTGCAAGCGTCAATCTTCAGCAGCTATGATTACTCAAATTTGTTCTGCTTGCTAGTTTTCTTTCTCTTTATCTACCTTTTCCAGACCAAAAAAGCTTCAAAAAGGCTTCCACCAGGTTCTTTGGGTCTACCCATCAGAGGCCAAAGCCTGAGCTTCCTAAGTGCCACGCGCTAAAACACAGCAGAAGGATGGCTTCAGGGTAGAATCAGAAAGTATGACCCTATTGCGAAAATGAGCCTCCTTGGGACCCCTACAGTGTTCCTTCATGGACCGGCAGCAAACAAGTTCGTCTACACTTGCGACAGCAACATTCTCGCCAATCAGCAACCATCGTCTGTAAGAAGGGTTTGCAGCAAGAAGAATATCCTGGAATTAAGTGGCCATGAGCACGAGCGTGTGAGGGGAACTCTTATCGTTCTTAAAGCCTGAAGTTTTAAAGCAATATACATGTTGGTAATACGGATGCAGAAATTAGAAAACGTTCGGAGATGCAGTGGCGTGGCCAGAACAAGGTTTTGGTATGTGAGATTTTATCAAAGCCTCGATGGTTAAATCAAGGTCTCTGAATTTTCATTCAAGGGAAAATAAGTCCCTAATCTATTTTTAGTTTCTATTTGGATTCTAAACTTATGTTTTTTGATCAGCAATGTTGTCTTTCTGTCAAAATTTTTGTATTTTCATTAAATTGTAGTCTTTCTGTCCAAACTTATGTAATCCCATCCACTACTTGTCACAGACAAATTTCTCTTCCGAATTTCTATTCTTATACGACAGCAACTATACATAACCTTCCTCACCACTATTTGTCTATAGTTATTGTCTTCCTCTCCCAAGAGATTTTCCCACGCTTCTCCTTGTTGCAAACAAGAAGAAATTCGCAAGTGAAAATTAAGGAAATACGGAAACAGGTTTAAAAGAATATTACACAAGCCCTGTTGCGTGTGCTATTCTCTAGAGATTTGAACTCAAATTACAATGCTTTCAATAAATGTATTTATAAATTCTAGCTAGGGACTTGGATATCTATATCGTTAATACATTATACATGCTCTTATTAGGATTAAAAGGAAATATTGAATTTAGATTTCAAAATTAATTTCAATATTCAACCTTAATTTTGAAAATCTTGCATTTCTTGAAATTTAAAAATATGTTGGAGCACAATTATTTTGTCATGGCCGATGCATCTTTCTCATCTAGTTAGTATATATTGATAACCAAAACTTCAATGTCTTTTATGTTTTGAACAACCACATTGCTATCACGTCTTTTATCTTCATATTATAAAGATCTTTCTTGCATCTTTATCTTAGCCGTTCTTTTCATCAACACTATTTAATGATATCTCATTGCCAACTATTTAAAATACTTTTCTTCAATAATTATTTGATCATAGCTATTTTTCTCCCTATGTGGCTGTCGTCACAATATTTCTTGAGCCACATATTTTTCTTTCAACATTTTGATCTTCATGTGGCTTTCATATTTGGCAAAAACTTCATTTGGTTGCCTCTATTCAATAAACTCTAATTACTAAAAAATATAGTAATTAGCAATGAATTACTCCGTTGCAAATAATACTAAAATCCATTGCTAAAATAATTTAGCAATGGAATTAGCAATGACAAATATCGGATGCAGATTGATGCAGATTTGTTATAGCTAATTTTTTAGCAACCGATTTATCCATTGCTAATTTTGCAGCATCGGAAATTCTGTTGCTTACAATTAGCAACGGATAATCCGATGCTAACAAGCAATGAATTTTTCATTGCTAGTTTTGTGAATCAGCAACGGATTGTCCATTGCTGATTGATGAATTATTTACAATTAGCAACGGAGAAATTCATTGTTGATTTTATTATTTTTAATAAATTAATTTTTATTTATTTATTAAAATGAGTTTTAATTTGTTTAATTAATTATCTATGGATATTTTAAAAGTTGTAGAATATATATAACCAACATAAATTAATATTAAAAATAATTGTATCACTAATACAAAATGGAATAAAAATAATATTCATATTATAAAAATTTAGTTAAACTTACATTAACATAATTAAGTTGAAATACAATAAAAAACAACAACAAAAGATACAATCATGGTGTTGGTTGCGAAGATGAACCATGATATTATGGATCGACACAAGATTGATCAGGATATAGTGGTTGAGGTATATATCGATAAATTGGTTGAGATGTGGGACCCATAAATATCATTATCTGGGGAGCCAAAGGTGGTGGCATTGATGGGGTAAAAGGTGGTGACATATCTTGGCCAATATCTGATGTCCCACCATGGTATCCTAGATTATTCACAAGATATTCTTTCATGTAATCCATCTGCCATTTCATTTCAAGAATAAAATTATCTTTTTTCTTTATCTCCTTTTGCAATGCTCGATACGATGAATTGGGATATGATGACTCCACCAAGTAGGAATGTGATGAAGAACTTGTACTAACTATAGATTTTGGCATACGAGGTGCACCATATACCCTACCCTTTGTAACTTCTCTTGAAGCCACACATCAAGCTGCTCCATCAAATGAAGGATGATTTTCCTGATTAGTTCCATACTTTGAAATCATCTCCATTTTATAATTTTTCTATAAATAAAATACATGCAACAATAAATTCATTTGAATGATAAATAATACTTAAGTTATATTAAATACATTCAACCATTTTTTAGACTTGTTGTTAATAAAGCTACTAGACTGCTTAGTATTTTGATGCAAAGCTGAAAAGACATCATCCCATGAAGGTTGTTTGCTACTAGCTTCCCTTTACTTTCAAGATTAATAAATATTATAAAAGACACATATATAATTTTGATTCATTATCTTAAGCATAAAAAAAAAATCCTTACCATGTTAGCTCGATATAATGCAAAGGACACTATTCCTCTAGAATAAATGCTTATTTTGCCATTTGTTTTAGTTAATTCATTCCTCCTAGCAGATTTAGACCTCTTTTGAAATTTAGGGGTGGACCAAACATCTTTGATCATTTGATTCCAGTCATCATTGTTTATCTAAGTAGGACCTTTATCAAGACAATCAATAATATTTGTAGTGTTTTCTTTTGACATGGCTTTCTTGCGAGCTCGTGTCAATTGTTGATTCAAAGCTATCCTAGCCTTATCTTTCCAAATATTATGAACAATCGACTCATCTTTCTCAGGAAAGGAATATTCTTTCTACCAAATAATATATATACCAAGTAAAAAGAGTGCATAAAATTTCAAAGTATATAAATAATTAATCATATTGTGTTATCTTGTTTAGAATTTGCAAGATGATGTAATAATTAAAGAAATTAAATGATATTAAAGAATAAACAAGAAATAAGAACAAATTATAACACAAATCAGTCCTTACTATTTAGTTAATAATATATGGTTACAAATAATAAGACAATTACCAGCACACTTCTATAGCTATTCAGTTGATAATTTTCATAATGCTATATTAAAGTGATCAAAATTGAAAAGAATATGGCAATTAGTTTTGGTTCTTACCTTAAACTCTTTAAAGAGTTCATCCCTGCACATTAAATCTACTTTTTCCCAAAAGTGCCATGCTCTCTTAAAATTGGACCTCAAAATATCTTTGATTGCACGTCCACATGATGCATTATTGAACCTGAAAATATATAATAACAAATTTATATTTAAAAAATAATTACATAATAATAAGTAATTTTTTTCATATATGAAAATATAACCTTAATAAGTTAGTTTTTAAAAGTTTAAACTTACTCTGTTGTTCCATATAAACAAGGCTCTTTTTTTTTTTCTTGTGATTGGATCTATTGGTGTGTCAAAACCCTTTCTTTTAACACTTTGATCATAATTGTATGGAGAAGATGTTGAACTGTGATTTGATGGAACACCATTTTGATCTTCATCGCATACACCTCTCTCATTACTATCATCTCCCTCATCTTCATCTCTAATGTTCACATCATCATCTTCACCATCATCATTATCAACTCTCTTATAACTCCTATATGAATTATGTCCTCTATAAACAAGTTGGTTATCTCGAGAGAAACCTTCTTGAGTTAGAAGCAAATCTTAGAAGTGAAGCCCTCACAAAACTGATATGCTTCAACCCTCCCATAATCATGTTGATGAGGATGTGTACTCCCCAAAATAGGTATATAATACTCATTTGTATTTTGATACATAGGTTGATGAAATGTGGATCCTTTGTTATTATGCCTTGATGTAGTTTGAAATGATTTGGATGAAGTGGACCTCCCAATACTTGAAGTGGACCTGCCACTCCTTGAATCTAATATGGCTCCTCTTCGAGGCAAGCTAAAAACCAGAAAAAATATATAAATTATCATATGAATATATACAACATAACAATAAATTAGCTCATAGTTAAACTATTAGGAACAAAAAATTCATAGATATTTTCCCAAGACTATCATAACTAGAATGAAAACAAACAATATCTAACATGTATTTTTATAAGTGTAACTTCATT